TCATTGATGAGAGTAGTACCCATAGAGTCCAGTAGAGGGCTCCGCCTGTGCTTATAGAACTAGGGTTACAATACGTAACTCCCCGTTTTAGCTATCTTGTTGCAACAGTAGTATGAAGGAGGTTAAGAAGTGTCATACATATTGTGTAAATAGTGTTTGTAATCTTTACCACAGGATATTTTTGTATATTACATTTATTTGAGAAGTGTTGTATTTCTTGAAATGCTTCGACTTGAGTAAAGTTGTCGCTATCACAGTAGCCGAGGGCCTGGCCTAGCTTCTGTCACCTGATGGATGATTTATGTTCTATTGAAAAGTTGTATTTGTCTTTTTTTTAAAAAACATATTCCACACAGCCAACCCGCCCTGTCCTGTTCCTCTGGAAGCGACCTAAACCGTTCATTTTATACCCAGCATAGTCTGAACACATGATATTTACAGGTTAGTCTGCTTGGTAACCATGCACTCTCTCATGCACTCTTTCAGTCCTGTGTTTCCTCACAGACTGACAGTGATCTCAGAGAGGTGATGCAGAGGAGGGGGGGGGCTGTAAGGTTGACTTGTAGTGCTACAGAAGTCAGGACAGAGGGAGAGGATGAAGCAAACACAGAGGCAGAAACAAACAAGTCCAGCAGGTGCTCACAGCACGGGATATCTGAACAAATGTACATGTGGATATGTAAAACTAAAGCAACTCTCAGCAATAGATGAAAACACTCGCTGTTTTTTGACAACCATCACATTGTCTTCATGTGCACAGTGTGTGTAAAACCAAAGCGAGCTGTGAGTAATCAGTATTTGCTGCATGTGTTCCAGTCAGGGCCACACTGTTTTTAGATTTAGGTGTCAAAACACATTAAAGTGAATGACACCAAACACGAATGTCTGGGCATTTTATTCTTATAAGTGATGTGTGAAAGCGCCTGGTGCATCGATAATGATTGAGTTGGTGGAGGCAGCTGATGAGCTAATTGTGAATGAGGGGCGGGCTGATAGTTTTAGATGGGAATCTTCAAAAACAAGCACATCATTCTCATGTGGTCCGGACTCCCCTCACACAGCCGTCCTGCACATTATGCATGATGTCTCCCAGCTGCTGTTTTGCCACATTTATTCATCAACACAGCGGGAACATAGGCTGCTGCTAATAGATCCCAATACAGCGTGAGTCGAGCGACGGGTGTCAACATTCATTAGTCTGATTGTCATCTGACTCACTGAGCATGCTACCAATAGTCACAAAACAGTTTGTGTATGAGTAAGGGAGGCAGCTAAACTTTCAAGATTCCATTTTCGGATTTCAATGTTGGAAGGATCAACCTGAAAAAAATGTTCAAAGATACACAAAACATGTTGCGATGGCACCACCATCCGGAATGGCATGGCATACATTCTGTACAATTTATATACTTTAAAACAAACTGTATAACAAACATGGCTGTGTGGCTCCTATTTAGTGCTAAAAGAAAGATTAAGAAATTAAGTTTCTGCAAAACACATCTGATTGATAGTTTTGATTTGCAAGAGGGTTAGGTTTAGGGAAAAATCTAATTTGGAAAATGTTTTTTGTATTAACATGAAGTTAATAGATTTCTCAAAGAATAGCAACAATTATTATTTTATTCAAACAAATGTTTATTTTTCATTCCCACACCGCAGCCGTTTCAGGATCCCACATAAATCAGTAATATCTTTAAAAACGTGCATTGCGGCTAAAACATCCGATCAGCGAGCTGAGGATCTTTCCTACGTCTGTTTCCGGTATTGTTCCTGTAATGAGAGTTCACACATCTTCAGAAACATAATTTGCTTCAGATACAACTCATAGCAAATAAAGCATAAAAATATAAGTAATAAAAAGATAAAACACTGGCATGTAATTTACGTTAGAATAAATAGAATGGTTTTGAATAATAGATGAGTAAAATCTACGTCACTTTTTTTGTATGAATTTATGTTTCATCCAATCACAGAGCTTGTTGACTTATCACAAGGTTTTTCGCAAAGCGGACAGGCGTCGTCACAACAATAGCTGGGGATTGTGGGTAGTGTTGTCTCTTTGGCACTTTAAAAAAAAAAAAAACAGACACACTCACAACTATAAATGAACCAAAAATAAATAAATAAACAAGTTTCAGTGTTTTTTTCATATTGGAAAGGGGATGTTATTGGTTATGGCCATGATTTTATGATTATTGAAATGTATACAGTTCTGTTTCATATAGGTGTTCCCATAGATCTAGTCTCTTTATTTCCTTCTCAAAATGCACCAGATTGATGCATTTAAGTCCAACATTAAAAAAAAATCTTACCGGGAGAGCATGCCCCCAGACCCCCCTAGAGGATTTGAGTCCACCCCCACTTAAAATCACATTAATAGGTTCCTAAATAAATGTATCATTTTTTTCAATAGTAACCCATGTCCATATGTTTATATGTGGGTAGTAGATTTAAACTAGGGCTATCAGGGCCCTGCCTGTAACTGTTCGCGTGAAGGGTCTGCTAACAAGCGACCAACAGAAAGGTTAATGTTAACGTCACCTCAACCCAAGACTCAAGATTTGCGTCCGATATGACGTAATATCGGAAATTTAGGCTGGCTTTACACACGGCCCTATCAGTCACATTGCTATCAGAAACAATGCTCGACTGTTTTGGACGTAATATGGTCAGTGCATGTTTACATTAGAATCGTTAACACTCAGAGCTAACCTGTACTGTAGAGCATAATTGGATTGGGCCTTTATATATATATATATATATATATATATATATATATATATACTGTATAGATACATATACACACTTATTATTATTTACATTTATATTTTACAAGTTTTTTTTTTTTTCTCTTTATTCTCTTCCACATAAGTGAGTACTTCCATACTTTCACCTCAAACCTCCCGCTGAGAAACCCTCTCCTGTACTCTGCGTACATCCTCTCTACACTCCTTCCATCATCCACTCATTCCTACTGTATCTCTCTCTTACAGTTTTTCTATTAACCCCTCTTCACTGACAGGCCCTCTTAAGACTCTATCACCCCCTACTCTTCTTCTCTTTCATCAGTCTTCATCCATTCCCCCGGTTGACAGGCCTCTCTATTGCTCTTTCATCCCTGCTGCAAAGTCTCATCCCTCTTTTTTTCTCCCCTCTTTGAGGAAGGAATAGCAGAATTCCACTTCCCATCAATCAATGTCTTCACCTGGACACAAAGTGAACAGGTCAGAAAGAATATTTGGAGTCTTGATATTGTGTTGCTCGTGTTCGTGTGGCAGGCAGACGGGGAAATAGCAAAGTGAAAGACTTTTTTTTCATGAATAGACGTCTAAACATCACATTTAGAAAAGAACTTCTCCCTGCAAAATAGTTGGTGAATTAGTGTGTGGTTGAAGATGGCTGGTGGGAAAATGTCAACTGAAATGTTTTGGAGAAGGGGGAATAGCTCTTCCACAACTGATGGAGGTGACATTAAGAGAAGAGCACTTAAACGCAGAAGGATCCATCTGTCAACATATGCGCTCCAAACCTGGCTATTTTTAACACACCTACACAAATATCGATGTACAACTTATATAAAAAAAAATGTAAGTCTTTTGTTTGTCCTCAAGGTAAGAAGATGTGACCATATACACACTCTGGACAATGTTCAAAGAGAGGACCACCACTGACGCATAGTGCAATCTCTGTCTCAAATGCATTAGTGTTCACCATCATAACTGCATACGTAACCAAAACATTTATTGAAACATATTCTTACAATTGATTAATTAAGCCCCTTATTACTTTTTTGTATTAATCCTTTTGTGGTGGAAATATAAAAAAGAAAATGCTAAGTTCCCAGAGCCCGAAGTGAGCTTGTAAAAAAAAAAAAAAATGTCAGTTGTTTAATCAACTTAAAGGTGACCTATCATGCAAAATGCACTTTTGCACGTCTTTTATACATGAATATGTTTCCCCGGTGTTCCGGAGAACTCACCAAGTGTCAGAAAACACAACACTCTCTATTTCCCTCATTACCCAAATCTCTTAAAAAAGGGGCTGCAACGGATCTGATACAGACTGATCCAGATTTGAACACTTCTATGACGTCACAGAAGTGGCGCTACGGCTATTGGGCCAACTCCACCAATCAGGAGGAGACAGCCACGGACATTGCCGTTTAAAAGCGCTGGAGACGCTGTAGTGCATATGCCAGGCCTGTAGATGGTGCTGTTCTCACAGAATTAGCCCATGCAGAGACAGTGTTAAATTGAGTGAAATGAGGAATGGCTAAAATGCATGATCTGTTTGGTATTTTGAAAAATAAAGAGTATGAATATGCCTTATATAGGTATATTATTCAAATATAGCATGATAGGTCCACTTTAATTATATAAGGAGAATAGTAAAACAAAGTTGACAGTGGGCAAATATTCCCCCTCAATCTGCACCAAGAGGATTTTGTCTGTTGTTGACACGTATACGTTTTTTGTTTCTTCTTGCTGTACAAAACTCCTTAACCGGGCACTGAACTGAGCTGTAACGGTTATGTACGTTACAGCCCTAATGCATCAGACTGCAATACATTCAATAGTGTTTCTATGTTTTACCATTCCATTTTTCATATAATCAGCCACCCACCAGGGCCCTTAACATCCTCCAGGTATATTTTCTACAGGTCGAAACCCGGAGCCTATTTTCAAACTGTTATGCATCTATAATTGAGAATATACTGATTTCTGAATACCTTGCACCATATAGCCAAGTACAGTGGAACCTGTTCAACAAACTATTTTGTTTCAACAATGCTATAGTTCTCGAAATCAAGGCAGAACTAGGGTGGCTCTTAGCCAATGATCTCAGAGGCCGGCACACACTTACACATCAGGACGAATACTGCGTTCAGTAGGCCGATATGTTCAAATGGGCTAAGTATGTGGGATATGGTGGCAAGTGTTGCTACGATGCAGTTGGCCCCTGCTAATGTTATTAAACGGCACAGCACTACTATTCGGGAAATGGTTGGCACTAAAGCCTTGGAGTATAGTGGAGGAGGAGGGGGTGACACTTACAGTAAGTGGTGGTTTGAGAGACGTTTGTTCTTGAATGTGACTTTGAGGACGGCTTTGTTTAGTTTGGCAAAGAAAGAGGTTGAAAAAAGACCAGACGGCAAGAGGTAAAGTGTGGACTCACAAACTCTCTCATGAGCTTACACTTAACACACACACTGAATATAAAAACGTACAATGACTATATAGTGACAAAAAATAAGATAACGTCACACCAAGAAGATACAAAACCCAAAATGCTGGAAGGTAACGCAGGGCCTTAGTGAGCTGACATTTACCCTGGAACGGGCACACACACACACACACACACACACACACACACACACACACACACACACACACACACACACACACACG